GATCTCAGCCATATTGCCCAGGCTCCAGATAAATCATTTCAAAATTAAATTTGGTGTGTTCTCAAAGGCTGTAGAATACAGACCTGGGATACAAGCGCCAGTATTAAAGCTGAAAAGATTACTTGATTCATCAATAAGTTGATCTACAGCACATTAATCAGCAACTATTTTATTATTGGAGTTACTTTTTAAGCAAAAACAAACATTTGCTTGTACCAAATTTAAAAATAAGTATATGTTGTGCTTTACTTTGTTTTATATCATTGTAAATTAAATAACATTGGGTTTGGGACTATTGGTCAGACAAAACAAGCTATTTCAATACATCACAAAGGGATCTGGGAAACTGTAATCAGCAACTGTGCAGAACTTTGTGACACTGTATAGACAAAACAATTAACAGAGAAAATGTGTTAATCTAAAGTGCCGTTTTATCTATTATTCTATTGGTCCTTTGCAGCCCTAGCCAAAATACTCAAATGCTAGGTCTGGCCCTCTACACCAGGGGAAATGGCTTGGGATCCCAGTGAAGAAGGTGAAATAAACAGAAGCCAAATTATTGGCTTTTTTGGCCCCAATTTGGATTTTGTTTGAAGAGCACTATCATCTTAAGACTCAAATTGTGTCTGTCAGCATCTGTGTAAGCGTATGCTGTGTGATCATGTGTGACAGTGCAAGTCACTGCTGATTTACACTAAAGCTAATATGTGATGTGTTACTTACAACCTAACACAATAATCCTGATGGGCAGGAAAATGCCATGGAGAATGTTTCCTCTGCTTTGCTGCTACACACCAACTTACAGGGTCAACACACACACACACAAATTTAAACTGAATAGATATTAGATATACAAAACAAAATGAATGTATCTGACAATCAGTGTATGTAATTGCTTGCCTAAATTTCTGTCTCTCAGCATACACACACACACCCAGACAGTGTACACACATTTGTAAAGGATGAAGTTATGGCTGTTGGTTTCCTGCCCATCTTGTTCTTCTAAATGTCCAATTGTTCTGTTTCCTTCCAGGTTTCCTGACTTATATTTGGCTATGAAAGTACGGACTGTTGTGTACCTCTCATGTTTTAACGAACATTGTGCACTTTTAAGCTGCTCTTAAGATTATGTAAATGTTATTAAACTTGTCTAATTAGGATTATTAAAAAGAAATCCATACTTTGTTGCTTGCTACAAACTAATTATGGTGCTACTTGAGTAAATTTGGTGTTCATGTGAATATTGCTGTCAATCTGCCCTAAACCATCTGGTTTTCCACTGACCCAGAGTGTGTGTGCGTTTTCTGAGTCAGGTCCCAGTGTTTTTCCATATATGACCCTGTCGCTATTGCTTCAGATATCCTGTCATTGTTACACAGCAGCTACACACACACACACACACACACACACGTAGAAACACACCCTACCACCCTTGTGAATGATTTAAGCTGTATCGAATGCCCCAGATCCTGTTTCAGTCAAGTGATGCAGCAAGCAGGATGCCAAATTCACATTCTCCGTCTATTCTTCCTAACAACTGCTACAAGTGACTCACACACGCAGCTGACAGAGTACAGAAAACTCACACATATTATGTAGAAAATTGATCTATGGGGTAAAGTTCACTGCAGCATATGAAAACTGCTGCAATCCGGACTGATGATTAGAGAGTGACATACTGCAGCACAAGTCTTATTGTAGTGGAGAAACTCCAGAGGACACCGGACAGGTCCTATGGGGTTACAGCCACTTTATGGCACTAACAAAGAGATCAGCTGTGAGGGTGATGTTGACAGAAAGTACACAACATGTAGCCTTACAAGGGCAGAAAACACACTTTAATCTAAGGACATCCTACTTTGGGATTATGAATGAGTTGGTCATGTCACCGACACATTCTCCTACTGTAATAGATTCACACTGTATCAACACTAAAAATAAAATATCAACCGCAATGTATATATTTAATAAATAATCACTGTCCTATACAACAAAATGATCCAATATTCACATTTCTCCAATAACATATGAAGAATCAACTAATCTATTGTTCGATCAGTTGATTATCACATGTCATGCTGAAGACCATACCGTGGGAACTAGTATCTTGTGCTGAGTGACATTACTCAATCAATAACTGACCATGAAACTAATCACTGTTTGTGGACATAATTTGCGGCAATACTGTAACAACTGTAATGGTTTTTGTAGAGCTACAAAAGTAAAACAAAAAGTTTAATTAATGTAGTGTAGTTTGGCTTTTTGTCCCACATAAACATGTTTTGGACCTCTCATTCTGTACCACACTACACATTAATGATGAAACGGCATGTGATCTGAGACTATCCCTGCACAAAAATTCCTAATGCAACTTTCTGTAACACTGATTGCACCTGGCAAATAGAAGGACCAGCAGCGTGTATGTAGCTATCAACAATGCCAGAGTCAGAGACCTGACCTTAGATCAGTTTGGGAGTTTTAGGCTGTAATGTGTTGAGAGTCCTAATAGGCCAAAAGGCCCAAGAGGCCCATGTCCAGCTCTACTTAAATCAATGTGCTTATGTTCCCTTCGTTTAATCACCTCCCTTATGGGAAACACAACCTCTGATGCCTTATTTGTTTGTCAAAGTAAAACCATTCTGCTTGCAGATAAAACTCAACTGTGATTGCAATCGACAAATGGCACATTAATGGAGGAGAGCAATCACTCGCTACAGGCTGGGAATGGACTGCAGTTCTGCCTGTCTGCTGAAGTAAAACCATTCTGAATTTACAGTGCTTTGCAGTATGTGTTTGAGGAAGAGAGCAAGAGAGAGATTTAATGGGAAGGCCCTACTGCCTCCTGAGGAACTTTAACACCTTTACCATTTAGATTTATTTTAAAATTAAACTAGCTATTGATGCCTGACACATAAATTCAAATCCCTGTGTGTCAATAACATATAGACCCAAGTCTAACAGCATCTGTTTTAAGCAGCTTGAGTTATGAGCGGGATTTGTTAGTTACACAGAACAATAAAGTCGGTGCCAGAACGTTTCTTTTTTAAAAACAAAGGAAAGTACAGCAAACTTGATTTAACAGGTGTGGTGTTATTTATACCTTGCTATGCACCAAGTGAACAGCCTGCTGCAGCAGACTGATGCTTGGGCCAAGAAGGCTTGGTTGATGTATTATATGCAGAAGACGTGCATATTTTGGCTCAGATAAATTCCTGATATGGCGGATAGCGTTCAGAGCCACGTGTTTTCACTTTCCCTCAATAGAAATCATTTTCCAGGAACTGCAAGTCTCAGGAGCTGGGTAAAGCGTTGCCATAGCAAAGACGCTACAAACTGTCACTGAAAGCATCTCCCAAAGGGCTTCTTCCTCTGTGGTTTGTTGTACAGATACTTGATGTTGGAGGATTAAAGAACTGCTGATGACATGAACCTCCTCATATTCCATTGTTGTCTTTCTCCACCTGTCTCCCACACACATATTCACAGTTAGCAACACGCACAAGCTCAGTTCCAAACCCCAAGGAGTTCAGTTTCATTATAATAATCAATAATTCAAAACCACCTCCTTTTCATCAACGCCAGCATCACAGATGTGACCCGAGTCGATTGGCTGTCAGCACCCCCACGCTCCTCCCTACTACAGTCAATTTCAGTAGAGGCATTCATTTTTAAAGCACCCCTGTCACTGGGATTATAAAACAGCAAATCTCAATGTTGGTGGTAACTCCACTGCTGCAGCAAGTAACAAAAAGAGACACACATACAGAAATAGAGCTGCAGAAACCCAATAAGCCCTACTCTGTTTGAAAAGGTTTGTTTTCTCATCTCATCTAGAAACGCCATCAGAGACACACCCAACCTTTCCAGTGACTTGCAGAGCAGCAGCTTTGATATTTACAGCACAAACAGCAAACACAAGGCGAAACATGAGGCCATGTGGGGAAAATTCCCTGACTCTGGCAGGCTGGGGGACTTCATAAAACTGCTTCCTCTGGTGTCTCCCGAGCACATAAGTGATTACAAGGGAGTCAAGGCATGCAATTTGCCCCTACCCAGCAAATAATGTGGCAGAGCTGGAAGCCCTGCTTTGTTTATCCAAAATATCAACAATGAAACAATCCAGATTATGAAACTGGCTGCCTTCCCAAAGATCAACTTACACTCTCAGACACACTCTGTGCCCTATGTTTGAAGTCTTTTCATCAAATTCCTTTCATCCCTGGACAAAAAACACCAACATTCCTGCAATATTACCAGAGGGCCATATGCATGTGCCTCAAATGGGCAACAGAAAGTTAAGTCATCATCTTGTGACTTTAATAAATTATCTCTCTCTCTTATCTTGGTTTATATAGATGTCAAACTTCACTGTGACATTAGTGTGCATCCTCTTAAATCATTTTAAGGTTCTGTACACTGTACAACACTTGTCCCACTTTTCCCTTTACCTTTATATCTCTCCAGCACATCCTCGTATGCCTGGGCGAATTCCTTCTCCTGGGAATGGTTTGTTGGCAGCAGACCCGGTATGAACCCGGCCATGGTGGCTCTGCAAACCGGCTTGAGAATAGAGAGGGGTCGGCCTGCAGACTACCGCAGTGACCCGGTCCGCTGCTGCGCGTCCTGCTCCGGCTCCTTCTTCTTGTCGGCGTCCAATTCAACACCACCTTGTGTGAAACTAGTGAATTTGATGCATTGGCGTACACTAAAAAAGCCTAGTAACGTTAGCTCACTTCCAAGCAGGGTTAGATAATCCTTAGGGATACTTAAGAGAATAAAAAAGGACAACAACAGCCTTACGTATTTATGAAAATATAATGTTAAAGACGCCACTATCTACTTGAATGAAGGTTTCATAAACGCTATCTATCCATTATCGCCGTCTGTTTATATGTGTGTGCGGAAACACACAGCTCCGACCAGTCCCTCCTTCAATATCAGCTTTCACCCGGCGACTGGTGCTTTTTGTGCCTCCTGTGTGAGCGTGAGGGAGGGAGCATATCCTACACACACCAGATGAGTGTCCGTAGAGGGGGGCAGTGGGTCTGTTTCCGTCTCCAAATCGGCGGTGCTCCAGGCGACACCGTATCCGGACTCGGGCTTCCTATCCCAGGCTGTGTCGGCGAGCCGCCCGAGCTCCCAGCATGCTTCCCAGCCGTAATGGCCGCTTCTATCCGAGGCTTTGCGGTCTCTGCCTCTGCCTCCGTGTGAGTGTGAATGTGAATGTTTCTCTCCTTCTTTTGCTCAGGTTTCTCGTTTCTTCCTGCAGTGGCTGTCTTCCATCCCTCTCTACCGGCCACGCCAGGAACCACCGCCACAGGAATTTCAGGAGCCGGTGGGAAGGAGCTAGCTATCTTACATGGCTGCCGGTGGGAAATGGAGCTGGAGCGCCCCCACATGGTGAGCTCGGCTCGGTGACGGATAAACTATTAAACCCCCTGCCTAGGTCAAAAAGTAGGTTACTAACAATACTGTCATTATGTTCTTTAAACCAATTCACTGCACGTTATACAATTACTAATGGTCATTAACGGTTTATTTCCGTTAGCTTCAGTTATGTAGCAGAGACAGTTGAACGATGGGTAACACAACATGGCGGGTATAACGGCTATATTTGGGATTTTTTTAAGGTCGATGGTGATGGAGCTAAACCCGTATTACCGAACTATTAGTTCATTACATGACTTCATACATGTGATAAATTACTGGAAAACGTGACTAAATGAGGGGATAAATATATTAAAAGTACAGTAACGTTAGGCTAGATGCTTCATAAAGGTGATTTGCATTTACTTGGTATAGTTTGGGTCCACTCAAACAGAGATGTTAATTCAATACACATAGGCCTATATGTGTACACATTTATTCTGAGTGATCACTTTTATCCTATGACAAAGTAATGATGGACTGAACCTCCATTAAAATTGGCTAACAGTTTAAGAATTAACTTGGTAGAAACATGGGCTACTACATAAGCAACATCTAAAGTTACTTTCTTATTCAAAGCGCAATTATGACTACAGACCAAAACGTTTCATAAAATATTTTAAAAGAGGTCTTTACATCTGGAACTTGCTCAACACTGTTTGTGTGGTGGTGGATGAGCTGGAATTATTGGAGCACACTGCCATCTAAAGGCTAACTGAATGTATATTTCTATCTAGAAGAAATGCAATCACAGACTCATTCTCAGCCAAAACCATATAAGGCAACTCAGATACAAAGAAGGAAATATGTCAATATGCACACTCTATTTGACCCCTGCTTATAGACGATACTTCTTGTCACAAGTGAATCTCTGTGTTTGATGATAGGTGAATCTGCCCGGTCCTAGTGAGTGAAACACCACCAGTGGATAATCTCAGCACGCCATCATCCTGAGGTCCACGCTCATAAAGCAGCCTCATTGAAATGATCTAGAGATTATGTTATTTAATCTTACAGAGACACATAAAACACAATGTCAGGTCCATCCTGCCTCTAGAAAAGAGTATATTTATGTGTATATTTCTCTCACTGGAAAATAGAGATTGTATAGTTGGAAGAGCAGGAGACGTCATGTATACACCTTTTTTTGACAAAGGTTGAATGTGGATTTCTGTCGGACTGAAATCAATATTAGATCGCAAAACAAATAAAGAAGCATGAATGGCAAGGCAGACAGCTTTCAAATCTCTGCATTGACTTTCAGATCCTGTCTGTGTGGGCTGGATTTGATCTCCTGCTTTCAACACTTCCTGCTGTCTGGTCTCTTTATGTACAAAGTACACCTCAACTTTGTAGTTAAACGTATATACAGTCAGTGGCCACTTTAATAGGTACACCTGTAAAAACTAATGCAATCCAATACAACTATTCTGCTATAAAGGCTACTTTTATGATGCCTATATTGTTCTTTTTATTTACATTGTCAAAAACGTGTTAAATATATTATATGTATAATTATATTTTTACATTTCTAACAATGTAAACAAAAGCAGAATATTATTAAGTAAGAATTTTTGGTGTACCTAACAAAGTTTCCACTAAGTGTATATAAAGAAATAATCAAGGTTTTAACAGGAATGAACATTGGGCTCTAATTAGCTGCCATTAAGATTCTTGCTTACTAGAAAACCTATCCCACTACTCTGTCACTCTACTGACAAGTTTACTTTGCCACATTATCTCAAAGATCTAAGCAAACCATGACAGTGGGGGTGTTACCAAGAGGACAAAGAGAGGAAGCAACAGCCAAACATAATTTTCTGTTTTTGAGTTTCACTATCTTTCTTGCTTCTGCCTTTAATCCATCTATTTTTTTGTACCAAACCGAGCCTATGTGTGTGTATTGATGTCCGCTTGCATGTGTCTATAATATGTGTCTGTAATGCTGTGGGGCACTGCTGCTGTAACAGATTTGGCATTAGGTATAAATAATAATTTCCAGTATCCATGCACCCACACACACAGCCTCCTACTTCTAACAAGATAAAATAGAAGAAGGGTGTAACGGGGAAAGGAAAAATGAGATTAAAGTGACTTAAGTGTCAGTGATTAAACCAGTATGGAAAGCACACAGTGTATTCATCATGTCACACACACAAACAAACCAAGAAGCTAACAGCCTCTACCATCCTCTACATTGCAGAAACGCTCAAAGCACAAAACAGAACATTTCTCAAGATAACAGATGGAGTTAAAGCTAGAAATTAGAGCTTGTTTGCTACAACAGGATTATGGGAAATGTGGTTTCAATGTATAACTGTAAGAGTATTAAAGATATGTCTTAAATGCTTCCAGTCATTTAGCGTCTAGGTGTTTACAATAAGAATTACCAGTAATTAAGCATCAGGATATTCTTTTCACTCCTTCCTCTCTTCCATTATTTTTAATGTCCTCTTTGTGTCTCCTCACCCTCACTCACCCCTCATTACAGGACTCACACGTCACATTAGCAACACTCCAGCGGAAATACAAACAAACACCTTGGGGATCTAAATCTGGCACACATTCACACTCACACTCACATATATACACACACAGTGTCCAATGTCAAGGCAAGTGTGGGGTACAAAAGTTTCCCAATGAAAGCAAAACAGGCCATCTGCAACCTCGTGACACTCACACACCCACAAACAAATACACACACAGACGTCATACAAACAAGAAGGAGGTTGTTGTGACCCTGGTCTCAAGGTCTCATGTCATTTTCTGCAGTTCATGAAACAGTTGGAGAAAAATGCCTTATACACTATATAAACATGCATCCTAAGATATCAGTCAAAGCAAGTGTTTTTAACATCTTTTACCAGTCATCTGGTAAAATGACAAACAAAGCAGGTGGTATCTACGAAGGACAAAGGTCCCTCAAGAACAAGGACAACCTGTTGTGTGAAAACCCACACCTAGTGGTGGACAATGGAAATTACAGTAAACTCTGACTCAAACTTGGCCTTACAGAACTTTCTTTCTTCCGTTTATGTTCTTTCATTTACATGTCATGTCTTTTCATTTTTTATCGCCTCAGGATATTCATTGTAAATAAAAAAATAATTATAAAATAAAAGTAAAATATATATGTATTAAAGAGCAATTTCGATATTTCTAAACCTGGGCCCTATTTCACATATTTTTGGGTCAAAATGAATGAAACAAAAGTTTTGGAATCTGTGCAGTAAGCCTAAATGGCTTCAGTTGGGAGCCAGCTGCTGCTGTTTGTGTGTTTTCAGGGTATATATATTTATACATCTACATTGAATGTAACCGATTCTACAATACAGCATCTGTCCTTTTACATTCCTGCTTTACATTGCTGCTATGTCAACCTAAATTTCCCCTATGGGGGATTAATAAAGTTATAGCTTATCTTATCTTATCTCATCTTATCTTACTGCACGGATTCCAAAAGATTTAAACCTACTAGTCATTTTGACATCAAAATATGTGAAAATAGGACCCAGGGTAAAAAATACCAAAATTAACCTTTAATGTTGGCTGAAGAGAGGGCAGACAATGTACTGAGTCATCTTTCACTGTCTGAATCTATCTGTCACTCCCACTGGTTTGTTTCTGCAGTGTGTCTCCTCCTGTTTGCATGTATGTGTGTGTGTGTGTGTGTGTGTGTGTGCATGCTGTTGTGTGTCAGTGCTGTCATGCAGAGTCCAGCTGCACAATGAATGTGCTCTGTGAGCCAAAAGGACATACAGTCCTCAACACATCAGCATAACACCCCTGTACCTTCTAACTTTTACAACTCATTTCAGCAAATCTAAAAAACAGCCAAAAATAAAAAGATATCTCTAACATCAAACAATGTGATCTGATTATCCACGCCTGCATTTTTGTATGAATTACAGCCTAATAAAGTACCTCAGTGCCCCAAATAACCAGGAATGAGCAGGAGATTGAATAAAATAATTAAAATGTGTGTGACTTGGATTAACGTCTTATGTGGTTTTATAAAATTCTAAGATTCTTAGTAACAGTCTAACTTTCATAAAGGACTGCAAACTCAATTATAGTTTCAAATGCCAATGTGAACATTTAAAATAGCCTCAGAATAATGCAGGGTTGATTAAGGAATGCTGATAATCAATGTGACGTCTGCAATCCAATAAATCAACATGTAAACAAAGTCAGCTGTGTTTCAGCAAGGAGCACCAAACTGCAAGCTCTAAATACAGTATGTTCAGCATTATATCACCACTTTACAACTATAGCCTGAAACAAGGGTATGAAATTTGGATAAACAGCTGTATTTATATTGACTTAATCTACTTTGGTTTACCTTGGAATTTATAAAAAAACAGGGGTTTCAAAAGTCGAAAACTGTTGGCCTCCCCGCTTTGAAAACGTCTGACAGATAGATTATACCATATAGTCTAGACTATCCTCTTAGACTTTATCTGCTTCCAGTGTTTTTGGAGCTTCACCCATACTAGGGACTAAAAATCTGAATATGTCAGCCTCTGTAGTGCAATAATAAATCAGCATGTGTAAGAAAAATTTGTACGCCACTTCTCTGTACATCCTCAAAAGTTTTTAATTCTTTTTTTGGTTGTTCCATTGACATTTTAAACATAAGTGGCATTAAACTGAAGACTTTTTAAATGAACACACCTCCCTTTGTCCCACTTTTAACTTCCCTCAAGGTCTTTTTCTCTTTCTCTCTCCACATACTGTCTCAGTTTTGTTTCTGCTAGCACTTTTCTTTCATGGTCTCTCATTCGACCTCTTCCTCATTTTGGCTTTCAGTCAGTCCCTCGCATCTTAATCTTTCTTTCCATTGTTCTTATCTTGTCCTTTTTAACTCCCACTCTCTCACACACTTTCTCTCTTTCAGTCTCTTTCTCTTTCAACATCAGCACCCATTTTCCTCCATTTCCTGTTTCACCTTGTTTTTCTTTCAGTTTCACTCCCTCAACCCATTTTCTCTTGTCCATCTCTCTTAAGTTTTCAGTGATTCACTGATTCACTCCCTCTTTCTGTTAATCCATCTCTTTCATTTTTATGGCCTCCCTCACCCTCGTCCTTATCTAAAGGTCATCATTTATTTCCTTTTCTTTTCCCATCCTCTTTAAACTTTGCCCTCCTGTTCCTCCACTCCCTCATCTCCCCATTACCTCATCCCCATCTTTCTCCAACTCTATTTCTTCCCTCTCTTCATTACCTTTTTCACCGACTCAATCATTCACTCCCCCCTCTCTTTTCTTTTACAAACTCCCTTCTCTTTTTTCCCACTTCAAATTAAAATTCTGACACCCTCTCTTTCACTATTTGTTTTGCCTTCCCTTTTATACCCAGTGTCGGTCTCTCTCACCCCGGCGCCATTGCTTCTCCTCGCCTTTAATAACCATGGAAACAGAGGAGACCACGTCGTCATGGCAACAGGGGAATGGCCTCAGCTTCGGGGCGAGGCTTCCTTTCAGTCGCCCGTAGAAAAAGAAATGTGGAAGGAACAGCAGCAGGCAGGACGGCGGGCGCCTAAGTTACATGCAGGCACAGACGTCTGGGGTCCTGATGTTCACGTGGATAGATTAGGAGTACTGCAGTCTGACACACATGCACACACAGCTAGATATGGTGCATCACGCATACTTGTGTCATAATGAGTTTTTGTCTTATTTTGCTGAGAAAAGTATTATTAAAATATATTGTTTTATTTTTCAGTTTTACCACTTCCTTTTTCTTTTTTCTTTTTTATCCTTTCACCAAAATATATACACCCATACACACAGATATGTACAGTCACACAAGTCTAAAACACATTACAGATTAATGTGCTTTATGTCCGCTTTATGTTGCTTGCAGATCATCTATCTGAAGAGAAATTAGTCTCAATACTGGCAATAAATGCATGTTTCATGATCTACAAGATTCACAGATGCAGTTTGTATAAATGTTTAGAAAAAACTTTAGAAATAAAAACAACCCCAATTGAATAAAGCAACTGGACTAATTTTACAAAATGTTAAAAAGCTTTTGAAACTGATGTCTTTCCAACTTTATATTCCACATGAATGCACTGAAAAGTCTGGGTGTCTGAGTTTTCAAACTGCACTTAAATGCAACATTTTTAAAAATTATTATTTTGGGGGGCTTTTTAGCCTTTATTTGGATAGGACACAGAAAGAAGTTAGAAATTAGGGAAAGACAAACTGCAAATGGAATCGAAACTGAGCCCGTAGCTACTAGGACTAAGCCTTGCACATGGGGCAGGCACTCTACCGACTGTGCTCCAGTCCAGGTGTGAGG